CTCGCTTGGCTGATTGGCCAGATTCGTGTCACATTTCTGCGGTGTACTCAGACCAACACCTCTGGGGTCCATTCCAATGATGTCGAATGACTGGCGTACCGCGTCGCTAATGTAGATCCCTTTCGAAGCCATCCGTGCGACCATGCTCGAAGCTGCCCCTCCAGGCCCGCCGGGGTTCACGAACAGATTTCCGATGCGCTTGCCCTGCGCCGGAAGTTTGACTATTCCCAACTGAACTTGAGGGCCTCCAAGGTCATTGTAGTTCAATGGAACCGAGAAGTTTGTACATTGAAGTGCTGATGTGGCGTTGTTGCCTTTGAAAGGTCGAATGTCGCCGGGACAAGCTGCCCATACTATCGGTCCCTGAATCTCCTGATGAGCTGGTCCGACAGGTTGAGGAATCTTGACGGCCGTCGCAGCGATGACGAATGCCACGACGCCCAAGAGCAGGTGGGAGACCTGTGAGTCCTTCATCATAAGCTAGCTATTCGTGGACGTTTGACAGTCTTGAGATCCCGAACTCCCCATGAAAGATTGCCGTGTCGTAGGTTGAAGTGATGGTTCACGAACGCGATGGGGAGGGGAGGGTACGGACGAGAACATTCTTAAGGGTTGAGTTCGATCCCCATCAGATTGGGTTCGTCGGGAAACATGCTTTTGATGTGCTCCTGGCAGGCAACCTTGAATCAAGAACCACCCCCTGAAAGTGCCGCTTGTTACTGTATTGGCCTTGCGACGACACCGATTTTCGCTTTTTGTTTGTGGCCGAAGTGTCTCGCGCCTGTTACAACTTCTGCCTGGCTGCCCATAAGACAGTTGCCATAGGAAGGTTGAAACTGGTCTGCAAGGAATCGGGACCGATTAGAGTTTGTGTAAGCTTCCTAAAAAAAGCTTATCACGGCAACCATCCCGCCGGCTGTATGGAAATCGTAAGAAGCTAGCAGCGGTGCCAGGAGCGGAAATTATCTGCCTATGTACGCCGTAGTGCATCTGCGACCTCTTTGGAAAGAGTTGTCGCGAAGACGACTTAATTGCGGGCAGCAACGAACGCTTCATCTTGCACTACACAATTGAAGATCGAACGATCAGGTTGGTGTCCTGGCCGAACCAAGCTGTTGGAACCCGCGTAATTCGAGTTCATGACTCCAGTCCAATCGGTATGCACCGTGCACGCTTGTTTATTTGCCTCGCACTGTCCCTGACTGTTGAAACAGACAACCTTTGGGCTTTTCATACATAATGGCATTATCTCATTGCCTCGGGCATTTGTAGCATAGTCTACTCATAGGCCACTAGAGAGCGGGACGCAAGTAGCACAACGTGTCGTGGCTATACCGACGTCGCACCTGTAAGTTTACTAGCCCCGCCTTGTTGAACCCCCTGATGTCTACCTGGACAGTGCCATCGGGTGACCACCAAAGCCCAAACTCATGCGGCTACGGCTTCCTGTAGAAGAACCTTCGAGAGCAGGGGTTATCAGGCAGTGCAATTGTAGTATTACGCCGGGAAGGCGAAAATAGGCGCGTCAAGGCGGGAGCATCATAGCGCGCCGGGGTCAACCGATATAATATATAAACGTTATGCGATTTCGTCTCTAGGTGAGCAATGACACCGTAGATCATCTTTCAACTCATTTCGCCATGCTGCGTAACACTTAGTACGATCAAGACATGCAATTCGGTGAAGGAAAGTAGGAATGTGTAGCAGATTTCCCGACAACGCTTGCGGCCTCGTTTACTCGTTCAGATATCTCACAAGTTATGGCACGCAGAAATGAGCATACGAAGGGAGTGTTCTCTTTTGAACCCAAGCGAACGATGAATAGAGAAGCATCTATCAAAGGAGCTCATGTACGTGACAGCGCTCGTGACAGGCCTCTCGTAGAGTGCTGATGCTAGTCCTACTTTTTGTCGAAATGATTAACTCAAGCTTATGATGCTGGTCAATCGAATTTTGGTTCGCAGAGCCCAACGAATTACAGTAAGTACTTGCTCTTCTGGCGGGCTGTCGCCTGGTCACAATACGAGCATCGAGATGCGGAATGGAGATGCAGTGTTTTTGGAAATGGGTAGTAGGAACGAAAGTCTTGCTAACATACCCACAAAACCAATGGGTTGATTTTAGAGATTATATAATCCAAATTACGCGATGAGAGGCGTTGCCTCGGGTGAAAGATGCCATCACGACGCCGACATAACGTTTCAGAGCTTACTAATTGGTTGCGGACTAGTGACAAAGTCTGGTTTCTACAAATGGCGATTTGTGTACGTCCTAGTGGGTTGTCCGCAAACTCCGCAGCGGCGCAGATCTCCGCAAGAACCCTTAGCCATAGTTTAGATATAAAGGCTGTAGAATGATGAACAGGTGTCGTGGTATTACAAACTACAACTTTCGATTCAACGGACAAGCCAAGGCGTTCGTCTCGGATTCTTTTCTAGCCAATTTCGAGGATTACGATATTTCGAAGTTTTGTCTACAACCACCATGACCCCTACAATCCTGATCGCCGGCGCGACGGGCAACACTGGCCGAAGTGTCGTTGAGACTCTTTCCCGTTTTTTGAGCAATAGCGATGCTTCGCCTAATACCCGCATCCTTGCTCTAACGCGTTCCATCGATTCGCCGACCGCTCAGCACCTCGCAAGTCTCCCTAGTGTTACAATGATCGAGAAGAACTGGGTCGATATCAATGCCTCTTGGCTGCGCGAACAGAACGTCATCAAGGCTTTCATCGCATCACACAACGGTCCGAGCCAATTCGCCGAGGAATCGACCTTCCACCAGGCTGCACTGAAGGCCGGCGTACAGTACGTCGTGCGCATCTCCACAACGGCTGCCAACGTCCGTCCAGATTTCGAGGCCTACTACCCGCGAACTCATTGGGCTATCGAAGCGATGTTGAGTTCGCCGGAATTCAGAGAACTCAAGTGGACATCCCTACAGCCAAACATTTTCTTCTCGGCACACCTATACAGTGCGGTTGAGTTTGTCAAAGAATACCGTCAAACGAAGAAGCAGGGAATCCTGAAGCTCATCGCCGACAAGGACGCACCTGTAGGCGCAATAGACCCTGACGACATTGGCATTTTTGCTGCTCATTTACTGTGGAATCAAGATCCTTCTCGGCATAATGGGACGAAGTATATTCTGAACGGGCCTACGGATGTGACTGGTCGAGACATTGTTGAGTGGGTTGAGGAGGCAATTGGGGAGCCCGTGGACAACGTCGAATTCAGGGATGTGTCTCTTGTGGACGCCATGGTATTGGCAACAAAAGAGTCCAAGAACGTAATCTCGTCGATCAAGGCTGCTCCGGTCACTCTGTGGGAAGGCAAATGCCCGGCGTCAACCACAAGCAAAGAAGTCATCGAAATAGCCGCACCCAGCCGTTCAGTCGTCGATGCGTGGAAAGCCCTCCTGTCTGCAATCTAAGAATACTTTGATTGGCATCAAGTGTGCGCTTTGGAGGGCTAGAGTTCGCAATTGCGATCTGCACCTGAGCCAAAGAGTCGAAGAGTTATTTCGTACATGGCTTCTGTCCTATAGATAGAACCAAACTGATAGTCCGGTTTACTTATCACATTAGCATCATTCCGATGTTTGTTTTCTGAACCAGTCTGATGTGCGTCAAGGTACCGAAGGAGCCGTGTAAGCGAGCAAGCATCTGAAGTTCACGTTGCCGGAATGAGATCACCACGACACCTAATTGGTATTATTGCCCCGCACAACGGGCGACATCCACGTCACGATTGGTGCATACATGAGGTGCATGATTGGCAAAGCGACCGGTGAATCACGAACCCCTCACTTGTGCAGCTCAGTCGGTTTCCGTCGGAATACCTACTGGGTCTGTCACGCAGTCTCACAATCGTACAACTCCATTTGAGAGGCTCAAGCTAGATGAAAGTCGACAGGCGGACTGCCAAGCCTGAACCCCTCCTCTCCTGCAGCCAGCTCGATCTAGTCTAACGTGAGCGGGTGTAGCCGAACAGCTCGTGTGCCCAGTGCTACGCTGGGAGCGATCTCCCCGGGCCGACGGTGATAGTTCCGGATCATACGCGATCGAAATAGCCGTATCATGACTTCCTGGAAGTTGTGGGCTTCTGAGTAGGAGTAATACAGACAACATAGTTTCATCGTTCCTCGTCCCTCGCCAAGTTTAATGCGATAGTCATTCCGGCGACATTGTATCTTCCTTCTATGTCGTGGATAATTGTTGGTCTGCCTTGCTCTCAAACAAAGGGGTCGATCAATGTTGTTCGACATTGGTTGTCTGTCAACTCGTTCCAGCCCAAGTACATTGACAATCTCTCCTTATTCCCCCCATCACAGGACGTATGGCAATGATGCAGTGGCTCCGTGTCGCGTAATTATTCATTCATACAACAGGTTGCAGCCGTGGCTGGTCTCTTCCATGATAGGCGGCGGCTATGTGAGACACGCATGCTCCCGCTGCGAGTTCGAGCAGAGCCCGCCCGGATCTAACCAACTACGGCAGCACGGTATGCATGAGAATCAAATATCCTCAATAATTCACACAGTAATTCGTTGGTTTTGTGCACGGGAATGCAACTTCCAGTTGATCGGAACCTAGCTAAGATGATACCGGTGAGTGTGTGGAAAGCATTCCCGTGAGGGGAACATTGAAAACTGGCATCATAGGAAATGCAAGGCCTGACCGGTCAAGACACTCGATGAAAGCTTTGCATGAGTATGTGTGAATACACGAAGGTCCTAGAAGGCGAAAGCGGTCGTTGATCGCCAGCCTGCATATTGTCGTTTTGTCATCGCGAAACTGCGAAATGCAGTGCCATCTACCCATTGGTATAACCGCGAAAGAGTCGAAAGAAGTCTCAATGAGAGTCAGAATACGGCCACGGTAGGAAGTTTGGGCCGAAGGGTATTTATAAGACTTCTCTTCTCGCTTTCAGTTGCGGAACAAGGCGCCCAGCTTATTGCTGAAACTCATCGACCACCCACTTAAGACTTCTTCTTCCATCATGACTTCCAAGAACACCGCGTACAATACCAAGGCCACCTACGAGGATGAGTCTCATCAGATCATCTCGTCGTACTTCATTGGTCCCCAAGCCGAGAACCTTCCATACTTCAAGAAGAACATCAACATCATATTAGATGAACTTGAGAGTGCGCGAAAGAGTTACTACCCTGAAGATGGAGTGTGTTACTAAGAGACTCAACTGCGTGATAAGTACAGAACGGTCATGATGCTGATATTAAACAGAATTTCATCGATGGGCAAACACAGAACACGCCTGCTTTCCGCAATTCCATGGACAAGCTCCAGAATGCCGTTCGGAAGGCCTCCAACATCTTGGGCAAGTCAAGCATACCGTTCTGGTCCCCTCGTTATGAAGCTCACATGTCAGTGCTTTTCTCTTAGACTCTTCTTAGCGTGCCATTCCTGAACTGATCGACTTAGGTGCACTGACCTGACCATGCCTTCTATGCTGGGTTACTTCATGACGATGCTCTACAATCCAAACAACGTCGCGTTCGAAGCCAGTCCACTGTCAACCTTGGCAGAGATAGAAGTAGGCGAGCAGCTGTGCGACCTCTTTGGTTACAACATTAAGGAGGACAACGCCGAAGCGCCTACCTCCTGGGGCCATGTGACTTGTGACGGGACCGTTGCTAATCTGGAATCCATGTGGTAAGATTCTTGAGTCTCTACAATACTGTCGCACACTGATAATCAATTTGCAGGGTCGGTATGTATCAACTCTCAACTTACAATATCAGCTATTCATACTTTCCCAGCTCGCAACCTGAAGTTCTATCCACTATCGCTTCGCAAGGCCTTTGGGAATGGCGAGGCACTCAACTTCCTGTCGGAGGCTTTCAAAGTTGAGACTTGCAAGGGCGAAACCAAGTTATTCACTGATCTATCAACTTGGGATTTGCTCAACTTGAAGCCATCTGACATTCTTGATCTACCTGATCGACTCTATCAGGAGCATGGCGTGTCCAATGCATTCCTTTCAGACGTGATGAAGAAGTTCACCATCCAGTCCACTGGCAAAGATGAGCTGGAGCGAGAGTTTGGGCTTGATCTACCAGGCCAATACATGTTGTCGAACACCAGGCACTACTCTTGGCCCAAGGGTGCTGGTAAGGATACTCCCCTCTCCTTCAGGCGGCTGGTAGGATTCTGGTAACATTCGAATATTCTAGCGATCAGTGGTTTGGGCTCCGATAATGTTATCGGCATTCCAGTTGATGAGGGGGCGCGCCTTGATTTGGGCGTATTAGAAAAGAAACTGCAGGAGAATCTTGACAAAGGACAACCTGTTTATGCGGTGGTTGCTATCATAGGTTCTACTGAAGGTAAGACAGAGCCGACCGAGCATGCTGGGTTGACAGAAAGCTTACTTTACTCCTCCAGAGGGTGCCGTGGACTCTCTAAGCGGTGTTCTAGCCCTGCGCAAGCAATTCCAAGCCAAGGGGTTGTCTTTCGTTGTTCATGCCGACGCCGCCTGGGGTAAGTGTCTCGAGCCTTCCGAAATTGACTCCGTTTGCAACTGTACGCGCTAACTTCATTTCAGGTGGATATTTCTGCTCCATGTTGCCAAAGGACTATCGACCTGGAGATGTCATGAATCTCCCCACTGACATGGGTGCGGCCGATGGCTTTGTGCCGGATGCGACACTTCGCGCCCAGACTCAGGATGATTTGTTCGCCATGCGCTTTGCCGACTCCATTACTGTCGATCCCCATAAAGCAGGCTATATCCCTTACCCTGCTGGCGGCCTTTGCTACCGTGACAATCGTATGCGATTCTTGGTCACCTGGACAAGTCCTTATTTGTCGCGAGGCTCGGTCACCAGCATTGGCATCTACGGTGTTGAAGGAAGGTGAGTCTACCTATTGGAAGAGGTGTATCAGTGATGGAGAGAAAACTAATCATGCATATGTACTATCAGTAAACCCGGTGCCTCTGCAGTCTCGACATGGTTGTCCAACAGGACAATTGGTCTTGATGCCAAAGGCTATGGTGCCTTACTTGGAGAGGTTACTTGGACTTGCAGCAGGGTATGTCTCATTCACTTTTCTCGATCACTATCAAATTCGCCGTTCTGTATTTCAATGCCCGACGCTAAAGCACTCGATAAAGCTGTCAGCAGAATGGGCAGCGTTGACAGACTCCAAAAGCCCTTTCGTCTGCGTGCCTTTCAACATGCTCCCATCTGAACTTGAGTCGAACCCAACCGAAGAGAAGATCGAGGCCGAAAAGAAACGTATTCGGGACGAGATTGTCAAAAAGACGAACGCTTCCATTATTGCCGAAGACGAAGCAAGACCGGATGACCAAAAGGTCATGAAACTCCTGAGAAGTCTGGGCTCAGATCTCAACATCAACGCCTTCGCGCTGAACTTCCGTTACGAAGACGGACGATTGAACGATGATATTGAAGAAGCCAACTACCTCATGCAGAGAGTCATTGAGGCCCTTTCAGTTGACAGTCCGGACGACGATCCCACCAAGATTCCACTCTTCTTGACCTCCACCGAATTCTCAGATGAACTGTACGGAGAGTGCAAGGCAAATTACGTCAAGAGACTCGGCCTAGAGCAGAGTTCACTAGACTTGATGGTGTTGCGGAACGTCGTCATGTCCCCATTCCCTACTGACGGGAACTTCACAAATCAGCTCGCTGACATCTTCTACGATGTCGTCGCGAAGGAGACTGAGGTTTGTTCTTGAGGATTCTCCATCGTTTCGATTCAGTCGCTGACATGCCTTTTGCAGATCGTCCGCAAGCGCAACACGCCGGCGCCGGACTTCCACAGCTTCCTCATTCAGGGCACAGAGGAGATATACCTGATCCATCTACCCATGTTCCATGTAGCGAACCACCGACAGCAACTGATTGTTAATGCGAGCTTTGATGAGAAGTCGAAGGCCAAGTACATTGCTCTGAAGAAGTCGAACCCCACCGAGCCGATGCTGCTTGTGACTCAACGCAAGGTTATGGCCAAGGATGTCATCGAGCAGAAGGGGCACTTCGATGGTCAGATCATGACAAAAGAGTCGTAAGTTTAGCATGGCAACTCGTGGCATGTTTTGTGTCAGAAATGGACCCAACTGACAGTTTTAGCGGCATCATCCTCCAAGATGTTTGTGTTCAGTTGGGGAAGACCATCGTTAGCCGCCCATTGAACTCCAAGTATCGCCTAGACAAGTACCCAGACACTTTCATGCCATTTTACCTCTACGGAACTCGTAAGTGTATTTACACTGCCAGTCTTACCTCTGACGTTCGGCTCACAAAGTTCATACAGCAAACGAAGCAAACATTGATCACGTCATTACTCGCGCGCCGAACACGCAACTATCCGCGGGACGCTGTAAGCTCAACTTCTACAAAAAGGTGGACGACTCAATCTGGAAGAAACCCTTAGTCCTTCTAATTGAGGACGTTCGCGAGGCGCCCATGCAGCCATTCCCATCGAACATTGAGATCGGTAGCAAGAATGCTGCCATCATTCCCCAAGACGATTTCTATCGTGAGAACACTGCCAAAGAAAGTGAAAAGAACCCCGAGTCTCAGAATGACAAGAACACTTCCTCTAAAGAAGGCTTCAAGATTGGTGTCCCTGGCATGTCTTTCTCAGTGTCAACCAAGGACAACAGTTCCCAGCCCAAAGGGTACGGTGCCCCTGGATATGGTTCTCAAGGTTATGGTTCCCAAGGTTATGGCTCTCAGGGCTATGGCTCTCAGGGCTATGGTTCTCACGGCCACGGATCTCAGAGTTACGGATCCCAAGGTTACGGATCTCAAGGGCACGGTTCCGCAAAGGATGCCGACTGCCGCGATTGTGGTAACGGTAATGGGAGCAACAACAGTGGCGGGAAGGTAACCTCCAGCAACAGCAAGTCAGGTGGCGGCAACGAAAACAGTGTTCCCAAAGTTCACAAAGAGGATGAGTCCAACAAGCCTCACACTTCGGTAACAATTGTCAACAGTGGAACGCGGAGTGGCGCTGCCAAGGGGTCCAACTTTTTCTTCCGGCCGGGTGCAACTTTCAAGGTTGGAGTTTGGGAAGATGGTGACCGTTCTAATGCTAGTTCCAATTACGCGAGCTTTGAGTTGGGCAAGTTCGTTGGGCGAGGCGAACTCACTCTTTGGGAGAGTGTATACGTGGATAGTGAGGCTATGAACCTCGACCCCTTCAAGAAGGTTGAGAAGGTCGCTGAGTGGCGTCACGAGTTTGACAAGATTGGAAAGGAGTTGGACTAAGCCTCTAGCAAGGTCTTGATTCTGGGGTCATTCTGAGACGGGGTAGTCCACGGTATCGACTGTTATACGCGCTCGTCTTATACAAAATTGATCATTTGAACCCACTCCTGAGATCTGGTTCCTATTTTGTGATTAACAGCACGTAAATCAACCGATTGAAGATGCTGACTAGAAAGCAGTTAACGAAACTGATGAGTAGGTCAAGTTTTCATAGAAGCTCGTCGTCGGCTCGCCTGTCTGGTCTCTAGAATCACTTGAACGAGCCCGACTAATCTCCCTTTGCAGATATGACGCCATGTTGCACGTTTTAAAAGCACTTTCCTGGTGGTCACCACTAGTTTGCATACTTCTTAACTAAGACTACACGAATATCGGCCCATAAAAGTGGGTAGCCCCAAAGGAATGGGTGCAGACCAGCGAACCTACCGGCCATTGTTGTCTAGCCACTATTTTCTCCTGCTGATGATCCCCTTATCTTCGAGGAACATATGCTAGTAAAACTCCTTATACCTCTGCATCTCATCCAACAAGCGTCCAACAATCTTGTCCCTCTGTGCGATAGAGAGATCCGGTCTCCATGCAATGGCTGCTGCCATGTAGTGAGCGACACGGACAAAAGAAGGTCCCTGGCTTGCGGTGGGCCGGGGTATGAACTTCTTGTGGACAAGAAGTGTGAATGGGCGACTGTACCGGTACTGTACCGGTCTTCATACTTCTTTTATCTCTGCTTTGCAAATTTTTGCCAGCTGTCACACGTCCATAAGATACAAGGCTGACCCCAAGGCGCACGAAACCTGAGCCTGGCCACGAACAAATTGGCCAACTCTGCCAGCTCCCATTAATAGGTGACGAAATCAACAACGTTAATTTCCCCGTAGCAGCGATCGTTGGGATCATGGCCGTGGATCTCTTGCTGGAACTTGGTAGAAAGACCGGGGCCCCAACTTACATCCCAATCACCTGGGCATGTAAAGCTGAAAACCCGAGCCACCTCCTTGACGTCATTGCTAACCGGGTCGTTGTGTATCGCTTGACTGATCTCAAAATAACGCCTACGATTTTCTTCTGGTCTTTCAATCCCAGCTGCTCTGTACGTAGCTTTGGGGTTCTCCGGATCATCCGGCACGGGAAGCCCAGTACAGGTGTAATCCTCGAGCTGATTCGGCCGATCTCTAAGTGCTCTGACGGGATACCCGGACGTCCGTCCCATGTCCAGCCCCACTGATAATGAAGGGCCCCAAATGTAAACAGGTTGCTCTCCCAGGTATCGTATCTGCCTCTTAGAGTGTCGCAAATCGATCGGCAAAAAGCATTGTAAGTCATGACCTGTTCCTCGCTTGGATTGTTGGGCTGAAGAGACTTCAGAGAGGGAGAATTTACCGCGGATGACAAAGCTTTCATTATTGAGCTTGCGAAGATCAAACCATAGTAACGCTTTGTGAGGGAAGTTGAAGCCGGCCAAGAGTTTGACGGCTCCTCATCATTTGCTGCTGCCGACATGGTCGCGTTCACAAGCGGGCGATTTTCTTTGGTCGGCTGAGACATGATCCAGCTACCCAAAAAACGAGCTGCTGTGAATAGGGTTACACCGAAATTGTCTGCAAGTACGCCGCTGAGCATTGTAGGCACTTGGAGGCTTTCATGTCTCTCGGAGAAAGACTGTCAAGGAAATCATAATCAGACTTTTCGGCCAGCAGCTGCGAATCATGAGCAGCAGTCATCTGTACATTCAACCTTCTCCCATGGTAAGCTTGAAAAGGTATATTGATTCAGATGCGGGTTGGGTACTACACCGTATAAAAGAGCCAAGTTCTCGTACTTGTGACTCACAAAGAATTTATATTCTTCGGTAACATGGTACTCAGAGCATCGCAGGGTAAAATGTGTCCCGCCCCTTTTGGATCTCAAGTAAAACTGCCGACTTCGCCACCATGACCGATACAGAAGAAGGCGGGGGAAGACAAACATTCCAAGCCTAGAGAGCCTGTTGTGACCATCCCAGGCGGGGATAGCCGCTTCGACAAGGCCGTCGAGTTGTATGCAGTTCAGAAAACCCAGTGGGATAGCGGCCGCGTGGCGACTTTCACGGTCAACGAAAAGGCCAAAGTGGAAGCGAAGGCTGGATACGGCCGTGATGAGCATTCAACTCCTTGAAATTATCAGTATTTTTAGAAGATCTTCCGCAAGTTTGATAGAGGTCTAGGAGGCGGCTTGATCCCACCACGAGCCAGCGAAGGGCCATAGAGGTGGCTTGTTCTTATTGTTCTTATTGTTCTTATTATCCTCGTTATTTTTCTTACCCTTATCCTTCTTATTCTTGTTACTATTTCTTATAATTTCTATAAATACTTTTGATCTCTTTTTACATATTCCGTATAGAATATCCTCTAGAGAAAAAGAATCGTAAAGTAGGTAGACTTGATGATTATTATTAGCCAGCATTCGGATTCTAGTCTTCACTTCACTTCGGTGTCATTAACCGTTCTCCAACCAAACGTTCTTGATCCATTCGCCATGTCTGAGCGACAGGGAATCCCCGGCACCGGCTCCGATACCAACCAGCTCACAAGTCCACAATTTGGAAAGACCTATAAGAAATAATGCACTTTCTTCTATAAGAACACCGACGGACAAACCATCGCCAATAGATCGACCCTAGGCTTAGACTCTAGGCTTTTCCGATGTCCGCGCGGTTCTTAGCAGCTACAAAGCCGATGAAGACAATTGCACTTCTAAAAAGGGCTTGTGATCATAACCTCCGAAACTTGTTGATCATTCCTCGCATTAATGAACGCTCAATCGCAGCTCCCATTAGATAGCATGCAGCGTCCCAACGAGAGTTCAATCAGCTTTTACGAAACAGTTCTTTATTCTTCTCAATCTAGGATCTCCATTCTCCCAAGCGGATTTCCCATCTAGCTCTGGCTTTCTTGTACAATCCTAATCTTCTCATACCTTTCCTTCTCGTACATTGACCGAAGGACATCTAGAAACCGGGGCACCCAGAACAACAGGGCCACGACTTGCCCAAAGGACCAACCATTCCGACCAACAGGTATTGATACACAAGGCAGAGAAAGAATGCAACAGTCGCCAAAGATAGTACGGCGAAAGAGAAAAATGGGTTGATGAATGATGCATGTGATCCACAAGATTGCTTGCTTCGGCGTATGCCATTGTGCTTCGAGGGCGGTAGCTCGCTGACGGAGTGTTTCCTCTGTTGTCTGAATAAGCCCAGCTGCCTGGTGACCAAGACCGGTAGCACTAGTGTAGTCCATATCCACGGGAATGTAACAGTATTCATGTTTGCAAATGAATGATTGTCGTAAAAGCCGGAAAGAGAACCAACGGGGTCTGTGCCAGTCAACTGATAGCAAAGGGATATCGCGGAGCTACCACCACATGCCTCAGCACTAAAGAGGCTATTTATGGCTTTGTCCAGAAAAGATCTGTCGTTTTTTGAACTCGAGAGGTTCCTAATAAGTCTGAAAAATGTCACAGTATTAAGCAAATAGCTTGCGAATACTAAAGCAGTCGAGAAGCGTGATCGTACTCCGTGGCTGTAAAGCAACATGATAGTAAATACTGGCGAGAGAAAGCCAATGATAGGTGTAAGATCAGAGCATATCCGTTCGATGGATCGATATCATAAGGTTGCGTGATGAATGTAGCGATGGCTAAAGAGACTACGCTCAATGGTCAGCTGATAATCCAGCATAACCGATGTATGGCGATTTATGGGAGGTCAAAACTTACTGCCGAACAGCGCTTGAACTCTCAAGAATGTCTCTAACGGACTTCTCAAACTATCTTTAATCGTCTTCTCTGCCGACGACGCCGTCAACAATTGCAGTCCGACAGACACCACAATAGCCGAGGCGCAGATTACAAGAACCACAGCTTGAAGGCAGTACGAAATAAGTACATAATGAAAAGCCGAGTCAATATTTGATATTCCGAACCCTCAGTAGTTATATCGGGCGAAGAACTGACACCACTGCCTAACACGTCTTGGGTCACGTAAGTTAAAGAGCAAGTATTGTCGCAAAGCCTCAAAACACAGTTCAGAAAACCTGATTCTTGGTCATAGTCAAAGGCCATTGAAGATGGCAGCAACTGGGATGCAGAGCATGCCTCGGCGCAGACAGTAGGTTTCCGCGTTTGTTCGCATGTTGCAGCGAAGCAGCTTGCCATGTTTGCGGCAATCTTGAACAAAGTCTCTGGAGTCATTCGTCGAAATGTGCGGGGTGAAGTAGAAGTTCCCTTCTGCAACAGCAAAGTTCGTAGCAAATGCAAGGTTGCTGCAAGTGCCGAAGAGAGTCACGTTCGCCACCTGTGTCTCTGATCACCCGTAACGTAAAAGATCTAATGAGGGGACACGCTAACGGCAGCGGAGATTCCATCGGAGCCGGGGGTAGTGTTTCCCGCACAGAAGAATAAGCTTTGTACCCTTCTCTTTCGTGATCGGTGGGAAGGGAAGTTTAGCCTGCATGTACGGATGGGGTTTTAGGATTTCTACTGATATGGCCGAAAAGATGGCAGCATTTCTGAGAGGAACGCAGGCAAATGAGTCGTGCCTTTCTTCTGGTTGTTAAATAGGAGTTCTCGGAGCGGTGGGGTTTGAAAGGAGCCTATTACATTGGGCCACCCAATCTTTTCGAATGCGTCCTTACTAGCGGAGGCTTCGGTAATCATTTACATCCGGTAATACTTTGTGTCCTTGGAGTGGCTTAGCTTGTGGAGAAAGTATTCTTCAAGCGCCTCCGCCTCCTTCCCCTCCCATTGACAACTCATTTCAAATCGCGCAGTCTCGTCGCAGTTACTCTCCAAGCCTTTTACGTTGCAATATTGGGGTATGATCAATAATATCAAAAGGACTAATCATTCGAAAATAAATTTCGGGAAACAATACTCTAACTTGAAGCTATGATATTGGAATAATTACTTCTCACTCAGTTCTAGAGCTTATCTATCTTTATCCTTTATTCCAAATAGCCTTTGTAAACCCCCTATCCGCTTGGTAGTTGATGGTTGTTGTTTGACTAATTCTTGCTCTAGCTCCCTTTTTCCTGTGCTTGTAGACGGTTGTTGTTCACTTCTAGTCAACGGCTCGTTTGCGTTGGAGGAATGAGTCGAATATAAAGCCCGACTTGGAGCCTGGAAAGTGCTGGGACTTGACGATGCTTCTGTATCTGAACTTTGATAGGATGGCGGCCTCTGAACATGAGTTGAAAAGTGCTCTGTAGTTGGTCGTTCGCCTATAGTACTCACGGCGTGATTTGAGGTTCCGTGTTGAGTTATGGTTCTTGCTCGGCTTGGTACCGAAAGTTCGTGTGCCCCTTTTCTAGGCCCTTATGCTGGTAGAAGTTCAAATAGTCTTTGTTCTGGCATTGGATTCACAGCTAATTTTCAATATGCCAAGTGCGAAGGGAGGGGGGGGGGGGGACTTTCACTCGCTGGCCTGCCGTTATGCGTCAGCGTTATAGCTGATAGCAAGCCTGTCGCAATAAGATAACTTCCAGAAGAAACGAGAGAATGTACAGGCTTTATTCCTTCTATGGGTAGGTAGACAGAAGTGCCCTACTAGATACATCTCTAAGAACAAAAGTGAGGATATTGAATAAGGTAGATGTATCCTGCCTATTCCAGGCTGATCCCAACAAAGCAAGAGAAGTTCTGAGAGTCCAACTCTGAAGTGTTTGAAGGCCCGATAGGGGAATATCACACTTACCAGTTGGTATTATCCTCGTCACAAGGAGTTGTCCGAGTTACCACCCCGTCGAAAGTTGGATGCGGTAACAGACGCCTAGAAGTTGCGTCCAATGTGTCGTTCCTAGTAAATTGCTCGGGATCAACATAGGCATCCATCCAGCATATCAGGCAGCCACAGTCGGGCAGCAGTTCGACCGCACGCAGCGGTACTACAGGTCTCCTCTTAATAAACCCGAGCTCGGATAGCTTTCGACGAAACGCAAAGAGGCTTGAATCAATAAGTCTAGGCTGTGCCGGACGCCACGTCCGTAGTAGTAGCAAGGCCACTTCCGTATTCCTTGTCTCTATGTCCACGGTGAAATCTATCAGAGCCCCTCTCGCTAGCAGTAGCTTCACAATGCTTGTATTGCCAGCTTTGTATGCTCGTTCTAGTGGACTTCCGTAAACCACGCCTGACCTTCTGATTGAGGCTTTAATGCTTGCACCCCTCTCCAGCAACAACTCTGCAACTGCATAATGGCCTCGAGCACATGCTGACTCTAATGCGGTCTCACCGTTTCTCACGAGATCAATAGTGGCCTTGTTCTCGAGTAGAATGTAGATGGTTTTCATGTGACCCTGAGAACATGCCGCATGGAGGGGGCTACCCTCGTGACCACCTTGGAGGTTGATGTCCGCGCCTTCTTGAAGAAGCAGCTTGACAGTGCTACTTTCGCCGTATAGACACGCATTATGAAGTGCATACTTGGTGGACTCTGCCACGGAGCGCGGCATTAAACGTCGTTTTTCGTGATAAAGTAGTATTTTGACGATATCCGTATGGCCGTTACTCGCCGCTTGAGCCATCGGGTTAAATAGTGATCGATCCGTTGAATCAGCTCCTTTCCTGAGTAGAAGCTCGACGATACCTTTGTGGCCGCTTCTACAAGCCGCACTCAGAGGTTTTTCATGTAGTTGTATGGCAAAGTTGACATCGCCACCATGATCCAAGAGCTTTCGGACAACATCTTCGCGTCCTTTGGCACAAGCCAAAGCCAGCGGAAGACCATTTCGGCCTGCTATATTGATGTTCGGCATGTGACTCAGCAGCAGGTCGATCACCGCGAGATGGCCCTGCTCGCATGCGAGTCCCAGCTCGGTCGCCATAAGTGGAGGCATTCTTTCAATGTCCCTAGCGTCAGCAATGATTTTCTTGAGAAGCACATCATCGCCTTCGTATGCTGCTTTTTCGCTCATCGAGAAGATTGGTTCAATGAATGTGCTCTTGCTGATGAATCTGAATGTAGCGGCACCTATCGTGATGGCAGCGAGGGTCTCTTGGGCTACGGTAGCGTCGGCGCCGCCAGAGAATCCTTGCTCGCGCAGCTTGGACAATGCGCGGTCTGCATCACCAGGGAAATCGAACACAAGGCCCATTTTGCCCTCGATCTGAATCGCGAACCGAGTCTGCTCGTCTTGACCGTCTATCATACTACATTCGTCCCTCATATTCCCTTCTTCCCCAATGCTAGAGTTCGAGACGACATTTTGCGTGTCCATGGTATATGTCAAATCCTTCATCGCTGCCAACCATTGGTTGATTCTTTCATTTGTGATGCGTGGACCTTCGGGAATATTGGGGCATGTTGGATTCGAGACCATGTTGGGAAAAGCTTCTCCGTATGTGTTTGCCTTGAAACTTGCATTAAGCTTCTTCACGGACTCGATCATTCTCTTCCGATATTCGGTAGCAAAGGTTTTACGCCCACGAGATTTCTCCAGCCAGTCGTAATAGGAGACACCGTTGAGGAGTTCGCGTCGATCCAACCCAAACTCTTGATCGATCCAAGACCGTGCGGCAATTTCAGCGAGGGGATCATCGGCAACTACAATATCAGATCGGGGATATAGGCCGCCATGGATAGCTCGTAAGGCCGCCGAGATTCCGTTTTCGTCTGTATCGGCATCTTTCCATGCTTCTAGTCGTGACGTTTGCCAGTTTGCCTTGTAGTTTTTATGGTCTATGATGTAGTCAGGCAGCCTTGTGCACGAGCTGAAGAGTAGCTCGGAGTTCTTTTCCCGCAGCTCCAATGCAACATCTATCAAGACTCGATCAACTCGGCTCTCGAACTTGACCTTTTCGTCTCTAATCAGCTTGCCGTTGAGAGGATTCTTCGCCTCATCTGTTTCCCGGTTGTAGCCAAGCCCTAGGCCACTATGCGTAATCTCGAGTATGAAATTGTACGGCTTGTCCTTCACTTCTATTCCAACATATGACATGATTTGCCTCCTCGCAATATCGTGGATGTGCTCGTAGCTTCTTTTGTCCCAATGGATATTGACCGGCTCAGCCTCCATTGCAAGATCAATAATCGGCTGAGCATGGAACGCCATGACCATAGCGGGAAACATAGGCAGCTGCTTCTTCTCGAAGTAATTATATCCGTATTGTGCGCAGGAAGCCGCTTCAACCATCCTGATGAGATGATCGAATGACCTGTAAACCACATTATAGCCTTTAAGCACCACCGACTGGAAAATGCTATGGACCAGTGGTGGCCCTTTTGCTCTCCCATTTGCGTGCTTGGAGATATGGAAAGAATAATAAGGTATCGCGTTGGCCAGATCATTGTCCCGAAGATCGTATTGAATGGTAAGACCTTTACTGTCAAACTTTTCTCTCCACAGCACGTCGAACAGCGCTAACACCTTCTCATTGGTTTCCAGGTATGAGCTAGCAAGGTCTGGTGGTCCCAAGGTCCCTGGCTGGTCTGGCATTGCTGGCTGACCAAATATACTTGGGTCAAGAATGGGATTTTTAATGTTCCTCGTCACGAGAGCTGTCTTGTATCTCTCATGTGGAGAGATATGAGCCCACGGCTTGTCGTGACGCGTGACGCGCCTTGCAATTGGTTCATGTGCTACGACCGCCGTCCTTAGGGTTTCGGGTACGAATCCGTCAATCTCGTGGAGAAACAGTCCCTGGCTGATGCCGTTGTCGATGGCAGCAAATGAGTTTTCGACAATTCTGGAAGCCCGCTCGTAGAGCCCACGATGACAAAAGACAAGACCAAACTCGGAGCGTAGAGGCCTCTCAATGATTGGATTGAGCAGCAGGTTTCGCGGGCTGAATGTTTCCTTCTGTGTTTTCCACACATAACCATCAGGCAGTGAAGGCCACTCTCGGCGATGCTGGAAGACTTGGGCCATAGACCCGGGGTTGCAAGGGTCCAGGCTAATGTTGCTCATCTTACGACTAACTGAATTGGTTTAAGAATATTTCTATCGGTTCCCTGATCATGAAAAAGATTCACAGGCTACAAAAATTGAATGGGAGTACATTAAGAGTGAGCATCGAGACTTCAGAGGCGTTTGAATCTATATTTCATTCCATCAACTGCTAGATGGCGTGATCACAAGCATCTCCAGTTTTTGTCCCACCCTGCCCTCACTCGAACTTTTCTCATAGGCGGATATAAGGGGATTTAGAACGGATCAATAGATAATTTGCTACTGCCCCTCATAAGAGCACCCACTTTTGTAGTGAACCCATCTCGCAGTCGATGTGGCAGGGCTATAATGCTCCTGGATGTCGTCCAGCCTTGGCTCAGTTTGACCCTTGACAAAAGGCTGCCGATCCAGTTAGTCACTTTTTGGTGAGTCTTCCGAAACGAGATATATGTGTTTCATCAGGGATCCTGCTTCTAGAATTCAGTTGCATTAAGATGGGGGAGTGACTATTTTTACAGTATATTCCTATTTAATATACCCACCGAGTACTGGTCTACGCTTGAGCAATTAGCACGAAAATAAGAATTAATTTGAATTAGTATTTATAGCTTAGTTCTGTATTTAGAGCGTGTTGTGATAAAGGACTCGTAAAGCACTAGTGCTTCATCGCGAATTTGAATCTCGTTGGCAAAAACATAGCCAGTGAAGAAGTTCGTGAATGGAATTAATCGTCTATAGCCATCCTTCCCCTCATCATGGTATCAACAACCCAGAAATATGCATACATGAAACAACAACGCTCTACACAAGCGCCGCAACCCGCACTTTAGATGCTCACTTCTTCATCTTCGTGCTCCCAATCGCCGTCGTCCCGCTCGCGGTGTCAGGAGAATCCAGCAACTCGGGACCAGGATCCGCCTGCTTATTCAGACTCCCCTCTCCAACCTCCCTCTCCACCTTCTTCACGTCAACATCCTCGGCATCGAGCTGCTCCTCGCCAAACGGCCCGCTCGTCTTGACACCCTCCATTGAATCCGTATCATTACCATCCTTGCCGCCGCTCAACACGCCCGCGTCGTCCTTGACGCTACTCGCACGGCTCACGTCCGCGCTCTCGGGGCTCTCATTCCTCAATCCAAGATGCTTCTCAGCGACGGGGTCCTCCTTGTTGTGACCCTTCCAATCAGCAGCCTGCATCTGCGGAACTGGTGATCCAGACGATGGCTCATTGATGATCTCGCCGGCCGCCGGCGCAATCACCTCGTCGCCGCCGTCTTCGGCCCGCTGCGAGTCTGCCACGCGCCAGACAACGGCGATCTTGTCGAAGGCGCGGGAACCTTTACGGCTAGACCCCTTGATGCCGTCCATGGCATCCCAGCTAATCTCGAAAACGCCGCTGGCGTCAGCTTTGCCGTCTTGTTCGGGGCCGTTGCCCTCGAAGAAGACGTTGAACCAGACGTGGGCGACCGCGGTCACCATCGTGAGGCCCATGGAGGACGAGGTGCGATTACGGCGTTCCACCGAAATATTGACGTCGCTATTGGGAATGTGGATGGGCTCTGTCGGCTTGAGAATAACGGCCATACCGCCGGGCTCGCCGTCTTCACCACCATTCGACTTCCCTTGGGCCTGTGTGCTCGATTGCCCTGCCAACGGAGCATCCGTATCACTTCTCTTCTGAGCCGCGCTCGGCTCCGGTGTCCGGATCAAGGACGTCGTCTTGGCGTTGCGCAGCTTCTTTGACTCGGTTCGCGAAGGCGTGGCATCATTAGTCTCAGCTCCAGAAGCCTCCTTATCCGAGCTGCTCTTGCGAGCGTTATTCGTATTGGTAGGTTCCGACAGCGGTGCCGCAGCAGGCGCCTTCTCCGTAGGCTTGACGCTGACGCTGGCGAGGTCGGATACCATAGACCCGACTCCGCCTCCACTTGGTGTGTCGCTCTGGACGACGATCCTCTCACTCTTCTTAAATGTGTGAAACACCTTGATCTTCTTCCCCTCCTCGGCGAAGCCTTCGACGTCGAACTTGACGCCACTTCGCAAGCCCCAGACATGAATCTCCATGATCTCAATAGCCCGGTCAACGTACTTCTTTCCACCTCGAGTCCACCTGTCGACATATGTAATAGTCCGTAGCTGGCTAGGAATCGAGATACCCGCACCAAACTTGGGCCGCATTCTCCTCTCCGTGAACCTCGTGAGAGCTTCCTCGGGCTTCCATCCGCACTCGGAGATAAGGTAGCTGCAGGATACTGTTCCGCTCCTGCCCTTGCCAGCCTTGCAGTGAACGACGACAACTCTCTTGTCATTACCCTCGGCAGCCTTGTCAGCAGCACTAACGGCAACATTACCCTGCTCGAGATCGCCTCCTTGGAGCCAATTCCGCATGCTGGCCATGATCATGGGAATCAGGCGGAACGGGGGCGGGTGGTGATCAGGCCACGGGTAATGCCGCACACGGCCGTAGACCTCCTCGTCCGGGTACCCCGTTCCCTCTGCGCGGAACTCCCATATCGCCCACTGGTCTTTGTGTTTCGAGTCGAGGAAGGTAACGAGCCGATCGAGCGGGTTTCGGTAAGCTCTTTGGGGATATGTGCCTGAAGGACCAGATCTGTGTCACAAACAAGTTAGCTTTGTCCCTTTGTGATAGTATTTGGTATCCAAGGACTTGCATACGTTGCAATGATGTTGTTGGTGACATAACAAAGATCCAAGTCCGACTCGGCGTGCCGTGCTCGAGGTCCTGCAACGATCTGTCGAAGTAAAGAGGCCATGATGGAGACAAATCTGTTGATGCACCCAGGAAAGCGGAGCAAGGTTTAGGACGAACGGGCGCCAAGGAAATAGGGACTGTTGCAGTGCGTGTAGTATAAATGGACGATCAGGGAAGTCTAACCAAGGCGTCCTCCCTCATGACGGTCTGCTGTGTCGTAGCTGCGCCTTGGTCGCGTGCGGGAAGTGAGCCTTGACGTCGGCCTCCGAGCAGGGAGGGCGACGTCATTCGTAGTGGGGTGAGCCGGGGAAGAGCTGCCGAGCTACGCCACTTCGGGTGTGGCTAGTGCCGTCGTCCGCCCCGGCTTCTTGGCAGCATGTGCTCAGCCCTTGACTTGGGCTGTTGGCATCTCTAACAAATTCCACAAACCGCGAAGATTCAAGGAAAGGATGAAGATAGTTGTGTAGTCATGCGAATTTGGATTTACTGCTCAATCAAAAACTAACAAACAAAGGCCGGAGCCAGTGAGCAAACGGGAAACCTGAAATCATCGTGCGATGCAGAGAGCAACCCGGTAAACCACCAGGCCCCAAACTCGCCTACACTATAATAACCTGAATTACCGGCGAAACACCATGTGAACCTTGGCCGGCCATGAACCTCCCGCTCATTTCTTTTCCTCTGCGACCGTACACTCTCGTTATAAACCTCTTTCTGCGATCGTCCCCTGCAGATAAACACTCTTATTCTGGTTGGCTTGCAACCCGGCTCTTCGCAACGGCGGAGCCGCTTAGACAATCAGCCTCATCTTGAATAAGGCTTTTGCTATTGCACCCTTGAAGGTACTCGTGACTTTTTTGAATCATTTCGCTTGTTTCGCCAATGCTTTACGAAGTCTTCTTGGGGACGGCGGTGCCGCTGAGGTAGCGGTTGGGGTCAGTGTAGGCGTAGAACTGGCGGGCGCCTCCCTTGACGGTCTCCCAAGCCTGGCGGGCGGCAGGGGGAGTGCCCTGGTTGCCGACAGCGGAGTCGACACGGGACTCAAGAAGAGCGAGCGAGTTCTGGACGTGGGTGCTCTGGGTGAAGCGAGCACGGAGGAAAGCGGTGTAGATGGCAATCAAGATCCAGGAGCGGCGCTGGAAGGTGATGGCAGAGAGCAGGAGGCGAACCCAGAGAAGAATCTCGAGCGAGGACACAACAGACATGGAGGCATCGTAGTACTCCTTGACGAAAGCGCCAATCTTGTCGGCGATCGGGTTGTTCGCGTACTGGGCCTTGCCGCTAGGGGAAGCACCAGCAGCGGGCGTGATGGGCTTAGGAGGAGTGATGGTGGGGATCACGTTGGCGCGCGTGTAAGTTGCGACGTGGAAGATCGAGTAGATGGCGTAAGGGAGCATGGCCAGGGGGTACTGGGGGGACAGAAGCCACACCAGGGACATGACTAGGGTCGCAGGGTTAGAAGCGATTCCCCCGCAATGAGAGGGCAAGGATGCAACTCACCAAGGTACTGAACGTTCTCGTCGGCAATCAGGGCCAGAGGGCTCTGAGGAGCCTTGGCTCCAGCCTTACTGCGTGCGCGGAGAGTCTTATAGACGACGATGCCGTAGGTCAGGGCAGCAGACAGGAATGTGAGTCTGTAGCTGAAGCGGGCGATCCGGCTGTAGTAGTTGAAAGAGATGTAGGAGAAGCCATAACGGATAACGGCGAAAATCAGGGACAAGTGTCTGCAGCATGAATTGTCAGTCAACGTTCGTAGGATAGCGATTAAATTTGTCGATTGTAAGCCCATCGGGCATCTCTGTCTGCGTATTTTGGGTCGTCGGGTTGCAGGGAGAGAGCAGGACGTCATGTCAAGATGGTATGTACATACCCGGCAAACCAAGCGACTGTTGATAGAAATGTTAGCAACTGTTTGTAGCGACAGAGACATGCAGGCGAAAAGACGGGAATCAGCATACATTGCAGGGTCTGGGCCAGAAGCAGAAGCCTCTGGGTCAAAGGGACGTTGGCGGGCGGAGGGGGAGCCATCGTGATGTGTTCTGAGTGCGGCGGCTCTCAAGGGCAGAACAGATGTGTGTGGAATATTCGATGCAGCAGTCGAAATTGGTACTCTGTAGCAATGTCGTAGGAGAAAAGAGAGCTGCGACGGTAAGCTGGTGGTTTTTGTGTCGAGTGAGAAGTTTCTCGGAGATGCAGATGCTGGGTTGACTTTGGGGAAAGCTGGCCAGAATGCGCAAGAAGTTGAAGTGATGCGGCGGCGGGGACTCGAGTGGCTGGTCCAGTGTGCAAGTGTCCAGTGCAGAGGAGACGGAGGGGGTGGAGGGAAGATGGAGCCTGGACCAGCTGAGGAAAGCGGTGGTCGGTGCGTCGGTGCGTCACTGCTTCCTTCTTCGTGCTTCCCTTTGGTCGGTTCCCTCTTTCCTTCCCGTCGCTGGTCCCTCTTTTTTATTTTTATTTTTTTAATTCTTATTTTCTGTGTGGCTACCAGGTATTTTTGAACTTGAATACCGGTACGGATACTCCGTACCTTGGGTACATACCCAAAAATTCCCCAAATTCCAGTCTAGGGTCCCGGACAGAGAAGCGGCAGATCTGCACTCCAACCATGGGCGAGGGAGTGGGATTTGCTCCAGATTTTAAATGACAGACAGGCAAAGACAGGGCTCTCTGGCTTTTGTTTCCGTCTCATCCCAGCGTCACACGGAATACCGTGTTTGGCGAATCAGCGCTGCCACTCACATGCAAAGAGGCTCAATGTTTCCTTTTATTTCGAGTGTTTTGGAATTTCCCGTCTTCAACGGCGGCACAGGAAGGAGATCTGACCGCGAGAACCCAACCGTCCGTCAGGTCAGTGTGAAGATGAGACGACGGGAGAAAATCCGTGCCCCAAGCAGGACAGCAAATATCAGCAAACACCAGGGCCACTAGAAAGCATGTGCATGCAATGCAGAAGGGAGAGCCATCTTGGCGGTACACGCATGTCTCTGTACTCAATGTGTAGTCGGTAATATGAAAATGGAATGATATGGCCAGAGCTCCCTCCAATGACGAATGAATCTGGCAGGGGTATTATGACAAAAGCAGCACGAAATATTTATCCCCTAGATACCTAACCTACGTGTCGATATCGGGATGCAGCTGTGCCTTGGACGGGAGACTTGAGAGTCGAGACTCTTTCATCACCACTGGCGCTAGCTCCGGACTTTCCTGGCCTGGTGTCAAGCCACAATCATCGGCTTGTTTCTTTTCGTCATCATCACGCCTGGTCTGTGCGACAGCTGCAGGCGATAGCTCCGTCGCATCCACAAAGCTTTGACCAATGAGAATTCTCCGCATTGGGCCTGCTTAGTCACACTGTATGATGCCCGCTTACCGACTGCCGTTTGGACAGTGCCAATTCCGTCAACATTCACTGCTCCCATAACCCCTGCTCAACTGGGGAAGCTGTGGCGTCACAAGCTCCCGAGCTTTTCGAAATGTTGAGGGCTGCAGCTTCGTGGCTTCACCTCAGTCCATCGACCAGACGGCCGTGTTGATTTGCGCACTGCTCGACACCACAAGCAGCCACGATGCCTCCCAAAGCAGCCCCTCGACCAAGGGAGTTTGTCCATCCCGAAGCTGGACATGCTCGAAAGAAGTAGGTTCTCAGACTTTCTTTGCCTCGTCTTTCATCTAGAGAAGGCCCCTCCACTAACAGCAACTCTCAACAGGCCCCCCAGTGCTTTCGCTATCGAACCCATCTCGGCATTCTACTGCTTCCTGATTGCCAACATCATCTCCGCCCTCTTCGCCCCAATCCAAGATTGCGATGAAACATTCAACTACTATGAACCGACCCATTACCTGTCCCACGGTTACGGCCTGCAGACGTGGGAGTACTCCCCCACCTACGCGATTCGCAGCTGGCTATACGTTGGTCTACATGCCATTGTTGGGAACATTCGCCGCTTGATGCCACAGTCCACCAAGGCAAGTGCATTGCGGCACTACAGAACACTACTTGCGACCAATTGCTGACCATGACCAGGTCGGAGAGTTCTTCTTCATCCGCTACGTACTCGCCTTTGGCTGCGCCTTGTGCCAGACCCTTCTCTTCCGTGTCATTAGCCTCACGCTCAATGCACGCATCGGTCTGTTCTTCATCCTGGCCACCATCTTCAGCCCTGGAAACTTCCATGCGAGCACCGCCTACCTGCCCTCCAGCTTTGCCATGTACATGGCCATGCTGGGCGCTTCGTCTTTCATGAACTGGCGGGGTGGTCTCAAGACCGCTCAAGGCATCTTCTGGTTCGCTGTTGGTGCGGTGGTGGGCTGGCCCTTTGCCGCGGCACTCTGCGCCCCATTCCTCGTTGAGGAGGCTCTCTTCGCTGCCTTGAGCGATACGGACCGCTTGATTGAAGCTATCATGCGCGTGGTGAGGGGCGTCGTTGCGGGCCTCATCGTTCTTGTAAGTTGTCGTACTGATTCCTTCGTGACCAGTCACTGTCTAATGCCAGCTAGTTCTTCGACGGTGTTATCAACACCTTCTTCTACAAGAAAATTGAGGTCGCAGCTTGGAACATTGTCAAGTACAACATCTTCTCCGAGACCGGCGGCCCTGAACTGTACGGCACAGAACCATGGACCTTTTACTTCCGCAACCTGACTCTGAACTTCAACATCTGGTTCGCGCTTGCGCTCGTCTGTCTGCCCCTATTCTTGTTGCAGAAGATCGTTTCCCCTTCCGGCCAGGGATTCCAGACCGGCCTTCGTGCGCTGGTCTTCATCTCACCTTTCTACCTGTGGCTCGGCATTTTCACTCTTCAGCCTCACAAGGAAGAGCGTTTCATGTATCCTGCCTACCCCTTCCTTGCCTTGAACGCAGCCATGTCTTTGCACATTGTTCTTACCGCGCTCGGCAATTCCGACCCGAAGACCCTCGTTGGCAAGATCCCTGCCAAGCTCAAGCTGTCCTTGGTCACCATCACCCTGCTTTTGTCATTCGATATCAGTCTATCCCGAGTGTACGGCATTTGGTCTGCCTACTCTGCCCCGTTGAGTCTGTACAAGCCTCTCGGGGCCGGCGTCAGTGGTCAACAAGGCCTTGGTGTGCGTGGCGATAATGTCTGCTTTGGCAAGGAATGGTATCGTTTCCCGTCATCCTACTTCCTCCCCCGCGATATGCACGCAAAGTTTGTTCGCTCAGAGTTCAGGGGCTTGCTTCCAGGTGAATTCTCTGAGGCTCGCACTGGGTTTGGTTTCTGGAGTGGTACCTGGATGCCGACGAATGGCATGAACGACAGAAACCAGGAGGACATGGGCAAATATGTTGACCAGAGATTCTGTGGCTTCATGGTGGACACACAATACCCTGAACGAACCGCTCCCCTGCCTCCGAACGAGCCCGACTACATTGCCGATGAAGAGAACTGGCAGATTGTTAAGTGCATCCCCTTCTTGGACGCGGAGAATACCCATGTTTTGGCCAGAGCGCTCTACGTGCCCAATCTCCCGTTCGTCCCAGAGCAGTTTAAGCGGAAATGGGGCCGTCACTGCCTGCTCAAGCACAAGAAATAAAGTGACCCTTCATCATGATTGTACTTTTGAAGGCGCATGCTTGAGCCATCTTTTGGGGAAGTGCAAAGCTGTTCGGCAGAGCTGCCTTTGCAATTAGGCCGGGGATCTTGGCCAATGATTGACATGGCCCAGCGACCAACTATCTTGAGGGCGATGCAGTCACATTTATCACAGGACTTACCTCGGATATCAAGAGTGGACATGCTGAAGGCTGATGATGATTCAGAAAAACGATGGTCTGTATGGGGCTGTCGTTCGGCGCAGCGACAGTCTGAGTACCATAGTCTCTCAGACTTTGGAGTCGGGACAAGGCTGTGAGTATGAAGACTTGAGAATCAAAGCCAAATGATGTCCAAAGTTGTCTGTCAAAGAGGTCGCCGGCATTACCTTATGAGGAAATCACCTGAGGTCCCTAGAGAGTCTTACAGAACAAGATCTGAGGCCTGTGCCCATTAATAAAGAGCATAAACACATGCATTTACCGCTGTGTTACCTTCCAAAAGTTCGAGCATCAGTATGCGTCTTGATCATACTTAGGACATAAAACTCTGGAACGGCATCATGGGAGGCCATTGACTGAACCTAGAAGATGACCGACAAGCCCCGCTTCCAAATGCTCTTCTTCTTCTCAGTCCCTTCGTAAACATCATCGAGCTCCTCCTCAGGCCGCCTTCCCATGTCGAGATCAACGCTGTGCAAGTCGACGCCAAAGCCCCAATCTTTGGTATAGACCTTCCAAAACAAAAAAAGGGAGATGGTGATGGGAGCAGCCAAGTATCCTTGGAAGAAGGACTCTGCACTCGGCTTTCCTCCGACCGGCTGTGGAGCATCAGTAACATGGTCAACAACAATTTGTGAAAAGAACGGGGATCAGCCAAATCGACTTACAAATAGCGAAGAATAAAACGTCGCAGCAAGCGAACAGCAAACCAGAAACACACCAACATAACTCCCCACCACGCCCAGCGCAGATCTCCAGGGTATATCCTCGGGGCTCCTCCCTTGCACCTTCCACGCCTTGCGGAAGCGAATGTGCGCAATCATGATGCTCGCGTACGCGAATTGGCCCGAGAGGCCCGTGACGGCGAGCAGCCAGTTGAAGACGGTCTTGCTGTCAGCGGCAACGGTGATGAAGGAGATGAAGCCGAAGGCGACCTGGAGCGCGACGCAGTAGATGGGCCGGCCGGACTTGTCGATCTTGGCAAAGATGGAGGGGGCGCGACCGGATTGGGCGAGGGCTTGGAGGACGCGAGTTGAGCCGTAGGTGCAGCTGTTTGCGACGGAGATGACAGCGCAGGTGATTACTGGTTGGGAGGTGTCAGATATCTCCAACTCGGAAGTACAAATTAGGGAGTAAGTAAGGTAGTTGAGGAGGAAGATGAGAGTAATCAGACGCACCGCCGTTGATGATGTGAGGGAGGACTTGGATGCCAGCGAGCTGGACGGCCAGGACAAAGGGCGACGCCTTTGTGTTTGCGCCGCTGGCGCCGAGAAGAACGTCACTGTCCGAGGGGACAATAAGGCCCATGATAAAGATATTGAGGATGTAGAAGAGGGTGATGCGCCAGAATACCTGGCGGGTAGCTTTCGGGAGAGTCTTGCGCGGGTTCGTGGCTTCAGCGGCTGCGAGGCCTACCATTTCGGTACCGCCAAAGGAGAAGGCTGAGATTGATTTCTTTAATTTCAGAGCGCCCGAGCCATTGTAGAGTTTGACAAGGATCTAGAGGGGATGAGATGAGATAGTAGAAGAGGCGGGAACTTACCGGCGGTCACAAAGACGGAGCAGAATCCTTGGAAGCCATTCCTGAAGGCGCCTGGGTCGTGCCAGTATTGCGCGCCGATGTAGCCTCTCGGGTCTGTGGGTACGCCGCCGGCGTTGATAATGATGCCGAGGATGATGAAGCCGATACATGCTATGATCTTGACGATGGCGAGGATGAATTCGACTTGATTGTGAAAAAGGAGTTAATCACGGTATCTCAGGTATCACTCCCAAGGGGGGCATGGGGAGGGGGAAGTATCGCAGCTGTAACTTGACTGGAAAATAGTGCAAACTCACCTTCGCCGTAACCACGGACGCCGAAGACTTGGATGATGATCAAGAGTGACATGAAGACGGCGCACCACACGCCTGGGTTTACTTCTTCTCTGCTCTTCCAAAACTCGATTGTGATGCCGGCTGCTGTGATTTCGAAGGGGAGTGTGACCATCCAGCCGATGGAGTACTCCCATCCCATTGCGAAGCCCCTGGCGAGGTGTCAGACGTCGGATCAGATGTCTTTGTGTGACTATGTAGTTAGAAGTAAACTCACCAAGCTGGGTCGATGAAGCGAACGGCATATTCATAGAAAGCTCCGTTGACTGGGTAGATGATTGCAAGTTCTCCGAGAGCTTGGACGGTACACATCATCATGCAGCCAATGATGATGAAACCTATGAGCTTCAGGCTACTCAGCTTCGCTTCAAGTCGGTTGACTACATTGATGTCGAGATACTTACCAGAGCAGCTGGACCCCCCGTCCTCAATGCTCCTCCGGTTCCGACGAAGAGACCTGCACCGATAGAACCTCCTACGAGGGGATCCAATTAGATTCTGAGCGGCTTCTGTGATGAGTGACATACCAATCGCAATCATCTGCATATGACGACCCTTGAGCGCCCTCGACAACTGCCGGTGCTGTGATTCGCTCTCGCCTTCGCCATTGCTAGACGTGGGCTGAACGGCCGCTTCGCTGGCATCAAGCTTTTTCTCCTCTACAGTCATTCTGAAAAATGAATTCAAGTAGTATTCGTGTTTCAAAGGTCAATTGATCTACGTAAACTCAGAAGAGCCCAGAGTCTGTGTGGCATTTCATCTGTTTAAAGCTATTCAATCCTCGTCCGAGTGAATGCGACTTTATCTTTTCGCGCGATTTCGCGCCCCTGGACTGCGTCAACCCCCCATTCTCGAATGGCGCATCGGCGAGGCCACCCTTATCAAAATCCTGGGAAACGTTCAGGATGTTGGTATCAGAGCGTTGCTGCGCAGATACGTAGCGACAGTTGGTAAGTTGGGATCGACGTCACCGGAGGCACGGGTTTACGCCGGGCGTTGAGTTTCCATCATTGGGAGCAATGGGCGTGAAACTACTCCTTCTTAGACTCCTTGGCAGTCGTATCGCTCGTCTTTTCTACTCCATTTCGAGAACAGATGTGGCCGGCAAATCTCTTGCGACGAAATTCCAGTTCCGTCATCAAGTTGCTTCTGCTGTTTGGCTCCAATATGGAAGATGGTGGGTAGTATCTTCCATCAAAACAACTTGCAGGTCGCAACTACTTCGGTCCGTCTTCAATCCGGAAAAACGATGAGATGCCATCCCGGCAGATCAAGTACGATGCCCCGATGATAAAAGAGGAAGGCGGGGGGGCTTGATAAGAGCCCTCGGGGTGATGTTGAAAAGATGGTGGGGTCGTATCGGAGGGGTGCCCGGTAAGTGGGTCCGATACGGAGTCGTCTCCGGTCCTTCGTACTGAGTGTTTCCCGGATGGGGTAATAGCAGCCTACGCCACGTGCGCTTCCCCTCACGGACGAGCCGTAGCTTATCTACGCCCGCCCACTGCGGCCCACGGCAGCAAACGACACATGTATCTGATAGCCAGTTGGCTTTGATGCCGTTATGGCCGTCGAGTATCATGGACGCCCGAACTTGCGGACTGGCATAGAGTTTCTGGAGTGTCAGCGAATCACTCTCTTCGCCATAGGGGTCCAAGACCGAAGCGTAATCGCTCGTACACTGGGATCACCATGCACCTGGTTCCGGGGATCGGACGTATACTAGACTAGTTGCGGTGGTGTTTGGATGGGCATAGCTCCGAAACGGCACGATCCGGTGCGATAGAGGTTGGGCATTTAGAGCAACCCTCATGCCGTTCTCTCCTACTTAGATACCAAATCCATGGGTATATCTCTTCACAACTCAAAGTACTCTCTTCGTAACCCTGCAGCCATCAATTCCTTCATCACACCATAATTAGAGACACAACCGTGCCCCTACTCAAAAGATGAAGTCCTCATTGGGACTCTTCGCCGCCAGGCGACCGTGGGGTACCACGATAGCCGTCAGCTCGGATAAGCGCGCCTACGGGAAGCCGACAAAGCCAAGACAGTCTCTCGGCGCCGCCAACTCACCACACGCCGCAATAAACGACACAACTCCCTTGACGTTGAAGCCAGCTCTGACGCCAACAAAGGCAAAGAGGAAGCCCGTCGATGGGTTCCCGTTGTCCGGCATGCCGACGGGCACGCTCCTGCGGTCCCTCCTCGTCACCACAATCTCCTCCAACCGCTTCCTCCTGATCCCCGCACTCAAAACCTTATCCTTCCTTGCCAAGCCGGGGCGGACGATCTTGTTCGACGTCGACCGCAACCCCGTCTTGCACAAGATTTTGCGGAGGACGTTTTATGACCAGTTTTGCACCGGCGAGACGCCGCAGGAGACCAAGGCGTGTGTGCAGAGTCTCAAGGATTTGGGGTTCAGGGGGGTGATTCTCACGTATGCCAAGGAGACTGTGTTTGATCACTTGACGCAGTCTTCTGTTGAGCATGGGAAGCTTGTTGGTGCGTCGGCGAATGGATTTGACGAGGATATCGAGTCGTGGAAGAAGGGCACCCTTGAGACTGCTGCGCAGATTGAGGAGGGTGATTATCTTGCCATCAAGTAAGATATTCTACTCTCATACAAAATGAGGTCAAGGGTACTAACCAGGTTTCAGGCTGACTGGTGCCGGTCGTGCCGTGACGACCTCATTCGCAAACAATGAGCTTCCGCCACAGCAAATGCAAGATGCTTTGATCGAGATTGCGACAATATGCAAGCAGAGGGGTATTAAGATCATCGTCGATGCCGAATCAACTCACTTTCAGAAGACCATCGACAGGGTGACGCTCGAGCTCATGCGTCGCTTCAACACGGATGAAGTTGCGTCCATCTACAACACCTACCAGGCCTACCTCAAGCACACGCCCGATAACGTCACGAACCACCTTACCGAAGCTGCCAAGGATGGATTCACCCTCGGACTCAAGCTGGTTAGGGGAGCCTATATCCTCTCCGACAATAGGTCAATGATTCACGACACAAAGGAAGACACCGACCACGCGTACAACTACATCTCCCAAGGGGCTGTAAAGCGTAGCATTGGCGAGTTTGGTACATCAAAGGCCTTCCCGTCAGTCGATCTGTTCTTGGCCAGTCATAACAAGGACAGTCTTTTCGCCTCCTTGAAGCTGCACCAAGACCGTGTCAAGAACGGCATGCCCACCGTTCCGATATCGTTTGGTCAGCTTCACGGTATGTCGGACCAAGTCAGCTTCTCGTTGCTGCAGACAAAGAGTGCAGGAATGGAAAGCCCGGCAGTGTTCAAGTGCTCAACTTGGGGCACCATGAGTGAATGCTTGGCGTACTTGCTGCGCAGGGCTGTAGAGAATCGCGACGCGGTATTGAGGACGACTGATGAGCATACTGCTGTGAAGAGCGAGTGTTGGAGGCGGATGAAGTCGGTGTTTGCGGCTTGATTGAAGTCGGTAGTAGTACTGATTGCATGATCAATGGATTCAAACGCAGCGGCAGACAGCGTTTAGTGCGTCAAGTCTCCCGGCGAGGACTTTTTCGACATCAAGAATACATCATGCATTACATTAATCACCTAGAGCCCGGACCAAGTGAACACTTTACTTCCACTTCAAGAACTAGTGTATAACCTCTTGATCTGTCTGCTAGTCTCTACAAGCTACATAGATAACTCTAAACTTTCCCTATCCGCTTGAATATCACTGTTTACTTCTAGTTAAATCATATCTACTTCCATCCCCATAGTGCTAACCCCCGACCCGAAGCTGAGATATGCGATGACATGTACCTGGTCATAGATATTCGACTAAGAAGATTTGTTTGCCGAACAGTCATAGATAATTCCGTCGAGATGTAAGATAGACGCATCGGACGTATCAAAAGAGTACTCCCGTATCGTATCGTCGACAATACCGTAGAGGTGCCCGTCCATCGATGTTGCAATAGCCGAAAATTTTGCAAGATTTCCTCCAGACTTTTCGAGTGTGATCTGGCTCATTGTCTCATTGTGCTGGCCTATGATCCGGCTAGCCATTGTTCCGTCGGAGTTTAGAGACAGATAGACGGTGTCTAGCCAGTTGTTTCGCATCGTGACAGCGAATTGAGGGGTCGCGGTCGGTGATACTGAATCTTGGGACTGGGGGATATTGTCTATTACGACAGGTTCTATGAACACAGAGTCAGATGTCAGCCATATCTTGATGAGTGAAAGTCAACGCATCAGTCGTAAGGTTTTAATTTACCTTTGACCCACGACTTGGTCTCTAAGTCGAGTCTGGCCTCTATCATGCTGACCTCTGAATCTACCGTCCCCGGACCCTTTGCTACTAGACTGGCTTCGTCAAGCACCGCGCCACCGAATTGTGCAATGATGGCAAGGCTCGTATTGGTTGTCCAGTTGGGCATGAATTCTAGTGGCTGTGGGTTGGCGTATGTGTTGGTGTCGTTGGCGACATATACTTTCCCATTCAGCCCTTGGTAAGCGATGAGCCGGTTTTGTCGTTCGGCGTTGCTCTCCTTTCGCTCATTTTCGTCTGGGAGTCGTTGGGTGAACGTTGCCGCAAGTTGTGAACCGGGCATAGGGCCCAGCCTGGCACCAACGACCGAACCACCAGAGTTCCATTGAGTACTCTCGCCTTCCTTAACGTCGTGTATGATGCCATCGGTTCCGATGTAAAACAATCTCGTCTCGCCACAACCGTACCCTGCGCAGGCTACCGCTGCCATCGGAGCACCGTGAGGAATACTGATAGCGTCGGTTGTGGATTGGAACTTGAGTGTAAGATTAGTGGTCGCCCACTTCGTTGAAGGTTCGCGTAGGATTCGCGCAATCAGTGCCCCGGTAGCATCTTGGAAGAAAACCGTTCTTTGATCGATTCCACCGCTTGTTCGGTTAGCTGCTGCAAGTCTTGACGTATTGAGGATGCAGCGTGAAGAGCTCTTAGCAGTACTCCGACGACTAAGCACACCTCCAGCAACACCACCAGCGATGGCGCCGATAAGTATTACCAGGCTGACAGCCAGCAGTATGATAAATACTCGCCGCGAAAGGCCACAGATGGTATTTTTCCGCTCAGGCTTGGTTGTTGAGTCGTCATGTTGCTGAGAAATGGGCTGGTCGTAGCCCTGTTGATCCTGCTTCTGGTATATGTCCGACGTTCGTTGAAGGTACCGGCTCTCGGTATCCCAGGCATTTACTCTTTGATCATGATGTACTTCAAGTCCGGCTCCGGCCTCCGGTCGACGAGGGTCTACCTCAAGGGTACTGTAAGTTTGTGCAGCTACCATTGGCACGGCAGCGTGATATTTGCTGGGCTACTGTTGTTGTGGGAGCGTTGTAGCTTGTTACACAACAATAAGTCGAAAACAAGAAGGAGTAGAAGTCCAGAAAGACGAGAAAAGAGCGCACCTTTGGATTATGTGGAAGCCTGTTCCATCATTCACGGCGCCGAGGTCGATCAAGACTATTTGAAATACTTTGCATGGGTGACGAGGCTCGGCCCAAATAACATTGGCAGCTTCCGTTCTGCAAGAAAGCACTCCTGCTCCAGTGTTGCCTGTGGCTTTCAAATGCCTAAGGTTAATGGCCAATCCGTGGGAATTACGTGATCAGCAGGATACATAATGTTATTCATGTCCATGTTGACATCAAATTGAACGCCAGGGGCTCAATAGATACGCCGCAACCTTGCCTCGTCACAATCAGGCTCGCCATTTTCGGACGTTCTGCGACAGAACTGCTTCCTCCAGGAGTAAAGATCGACCCAGCTGAACGTTTGTACCCCCAGTCCTGCATCTATTTCATCCTTCTTGAAATCACAGCGTATCAAAACGCGGAAGTTGGACCGCAGGCTGGCGCATTCATGGAAAAAAGGCGGTACACGTATCATTACCCGTAACACAGAAGAAGGCTGTGGTACTTGGCCCCCAGTAAACGAGGGTATCACGCATGCGGCAAGGCAGATAATGTTTCTCACGTCAGCCCGGACAAGACCCGCCGGTTTTAAGTCTAAATTAGGAGCTTCCCTGGGGATAGAAGAGGTTGTAATTTGTGGGAGCAGGTTGCAGTCCAAGATCTTTCTTGTAAGTGATGAAATCAGGCTAGCAGATAGATGACCGATTTGAATTTGGGATGAACATGCATGACCGGGGTCTATATCCGAGTTCCACTTATCAATGCGAAGTCTTTTTGTTCTAAACCAATGAAATGTGCCATATTTGGAAGGGCGATGGAATCACCACCTGAAGTTGAGGATGTTGGTTACAGGGGTGCACATACATTGAAGAGACCTGCCCGCCCCAGGAAAACGAGATCATGGATTAAATGAACAGGAATAATGGCAGTTTGGGGAAGAGAAAAATGTACAGTCAGTTACGCGAAAGCATCTACAGGAATTAGAAAGTGCCAGTTGACTAGTAGTGTTAATGTCTATCTGGGAACTGGTCACCCAAATTGAGGAAGAAGGCCCGTTGGCACCTCGGGCCGAGTGGGACCCTCCGGTCTGATATGGAGCGATACACCATTGAAGTGACCAGGATGAAGTCCAACCATGCAGAATCATGCAGAATCATGCCAAATGTGATGAGATACACGGCCAACGTTGAAGTGCTCTCCCAACGATTGATAACCATTACAATTCCACCGCGCCTTCGATCAGATCTGCGAAGTCCTTTTGTCCTTGGCTACTGAACAAGCGCCCAAATAACCTTTAGTAGCTTGCATACGAACGCCACGGCGACCTCACTCTGCCGAGGGAGTGATTCTACGACTGTTCCTTGCTCGTTCCCTGCAAACACCAAGCGAAGACGACTGACTCCTGTCAAGAAATCAACTACGCTTGATTCGCAGCTACTATCGAGTCACGATACAATACTTGGCTTGCCTACCACACTATGGATACCCCACGCAATGTTGAAATACCGTTGATCACAAGGATCACTTACGCCACAGACGAAGTCTGGGACTGCCACCGTTCTATCATTACCAAACTCTACCAGGACGATAGAAGGCCGTTGAAGCAGGTCAAGCAGATTATGGAGCGTGATTATAGCCTCAATGCCACGTGAGCTCAGCCTGAAAGCACTGCAAACGTAACTAGCTAGGAGCTAACGATATCCGAAGTGAGAGAATGTACAAGACTCGACTTCGTAGTTGGGGCCTCGAAAAGAAGCTCAAGGAGTCCGAAGTTTTGTACATAGCCCAGCTTAAGCGAGAGCGCGAAACCATGGGAAAGAAAACGGACTTCTACATTCGAAACCAGCGAGTCCATTGGGAAAGAGTAGCGCGTTATTTGGAGAGACGTCCCGATTTGCGCCACAAGCTTCGTACCTCCGCTCAAACTCCCGCCAATGCAGGCCTTGACATAATCTGCCGAACACCCTCGCCATCTCTTGAACTTCCCGCTTTCATAAGTGGCCCCCCTGAAGTACGGCTACCTGAAGAGATGCTACGGATCTTTAAGGGCTATTTTGAAGGGGGTCTGGAGGGTGGGTGGGCAATAGAGGAGGACATGATACATGGATTCGACGATGAGTTCGGTCAGTTGCGAGTCATTGAGATGCGCACCGATTTGGATAATGCAATTACCCTATTGTGGACGAACAAGCTGGAGGCTGCTTTTCGCGCCTTGAACAACAGCCTCGATTCACTCGGCCACTCCATAAAAGAGCAAGATCCGCTCCTCTTTTACATCCTGTCCTACCGCACCATGCAACTTGGGCCTAGGATATCCGACCCTGTAGTTGCTTTCATCCATAAAATGCACGAAACGATATTGAGTCCTCAACACCCCCTTGCTCTTGTTTGGGGCAGGTTTAGGTGCCTGTCACTTGAACTCCGTGCTACGACTCTCAGCATGATGGCTGGCAGTAGCGTTAAGCTTCTCAGAGGACAACAGGGAATCCTGAACAGAGTGGTAGCATTGGCTCTCGGCTCGACGTCAAATGTTCTCGACAATCCGGGTGAGACAGACGTAAGCCAGTTTGGCGAGCTCCTATCCAAGTACACTGCAGCCAGCGAAGCACACTTTGCAGAGGGGAATTACCAAAGCTCGTGCGAATGTCTCTCAGTTGTAGCCGGAATCTACTCATGGGGCCAAGAGTATGAGCTGGCAAAGGAAGCACTGGCACGCGCCCACTCTCTGATTCAAGACAACAAAGGTAATCCCGAGAGGCCATGGCTTCTTTTGGAGCTCTCTCACTACGAAGTCATGGCTAGGCTATGCTATCAGACTGGCGCAGTTGACGAGGCTGTCGCGTATGGGTGCAAGGCATATGAGCATGCAGCCGAGCATTTTCAGAGACGAGACAAGCACCAATCACTAAGAGCCATCCGAAACCTCATCGACCTCTATCGCTCGGCTGGCCGAGGAGATGAAGCTGAGCGATGGTGCGACATCCTAATTGCAAACATGTCAAGAAAGAGGTAAACCTAGAGCATGTAGGCACAGTAATCCAAGTTTCTCGATAATATTTTTCTTCTTATATCATGGTACAAACCCACGGGACATTTCTAAACTACAGCAAACCCCCTGCATTACTTCTAGCAGTCCGTGACGTTGTAGCCAGCAGCCAGAACCAACTTGTCAAAGTCGGCAGTGGCATCCACAAATGGGAAAGTCGACCGGTTACCAGCGACATCAAACTCGTTGAGATCGTGGAAGTACTCGTGCGAGATGTAAATGCTGTTTTGGATCTGCACGGTAGCAGTCGGTGATCCCCACGTCGCAATATCAGTCGTCGAGTTGTCCATAACCTTGCCAATGTACTCCACCGAAGCGAAGCCATCCTTGGACGCCCAGAGGGTGATGGCCTGTAGCCCGTTCTCAGAGCAAAGCAGGACATCGCGGTTGTAGCGGGCCGGGTTCAGCAGACCGTCGCACTCGAGGTCGCTGGCGGTGTAGGAGCCGTCCGCGGGCCAAGTCATGCTGACGTTAGTGGGCGCCGGGCTGGACGAGCCGACGTCGAAGGAGAGGAAGGTGCCGAGGTAGGGTGCGGTGATGACGAGCTTGTTGGAGGCCTCGTGGAAGATGATGCCGAGGTACATGTACTTGCTGGACGAGCTCGGCTCACCAATGTACCAGCTCGACAGTTCGCCGTCCTTGGTGATTTTGGCGATGGCGGGAACGTGGAAGACCGAGGGGACGTAGGTGTTGCCCTCCTTGTCCTCTGCAAAGTCTTGGTATCCTCCGCCGGTTGAGTTGCTGATTGCCAGCTTGGACGTGAAGTCTGCCAGGTCGACCGTGTACGCGGCGGAGTTTGTGTTGGTATCCCAGCGAATGACCTTGTTCCCGCCGGTCATGTTCGAGCCGGAAGTAACAAAGGGTTCTCCGCTGTTGGCGGAAATGAGAATGGACTGAGTTGTCGCATCATAGTCGATGCCGGATACGTGGTAAGGGTCTACGCCAGTGATGCCGTCGAAAGAGAGGATGTCGTAGGTTGCCTCGTACGGATCGTAGACGAGGACTGTAGAGTTGAAGTTGGCACTAAAGTTTGGACGACCAGATTAGGATATGAGATGTGACAAGATCGGACGTCGGAGGGTTGCAATGCAACCATACCTTATATAGAGCTTGCAGTGAATAGGGTCCCAATCCAGATTTTCGGGATAGAGCTTATAGTTCTCGATTTCGAATGTACCGCTTACAGCTGCGCAGTTTGCAGTTTCGGCCAGCTTGAAAGGAAACGCGGAGACAACTGATGCCAAGGCGGCAAGGCCCGTCAAGCCTGTTGAAAGAGTGGAGTGCATCTCGGGAATTGCAATGAGTTTTGATGAACGAATGTATTGGCTTGAAGTCCTTGTTACGGTCGAAGTGAGAGTGAAAAGGCTGTGAACATGAATCTACGGGGCGAGAGTCTCCCGACCCTTTTATTATTATTCTACTCGTCCCCTATGATCGCTTCCCCATTCCCACGAAGTAGCCGGTCAAGACCGTTGAACCAGTCAGTCCACTACGTGGTGGAAGACTCGGGAAGCCCGTATAGTGACTTCAAGGAGGCTTAACAGGCATGGCCCTGGAACGATCGTCTGTCAAATCCATCAGCTAAGCATTTCTTGGCAACCGCGCGGATGAGGGCGCCTATAAGAACTTAAGAAGTCTATAAAACAGGTTGCTAAGCGGGTCTGAATGCTTGTTTGTTGGGTCAGGCCTGAGCCTAATCGTGTAAGTGAAGCAATTGCTGGAATAACCGCACGAAGTTTTCCTATTACGGTGCGGAACGCCACCCACATTCCGAGAACCTTTCAACAGGCCCTGAAGGTACACTAAAGTTGCATGGAAGGGGGCCTGAAAGGGGGCGCAAAAGGGGTCGTTTACGAGTCAGTCTTGCAATAGCATGGGCTATGCTCTCGTTGCTTTTTGGTAGAGCTTTTTTTTTTTTTTTCGACTGCGCCCGCCCACATCCCGACAACTCTTCTCGGTTAGAACGGATCAGTCCTTGGCTTTGGCCTTTCGATCCCCCAGATGCCTCAACTTCATGGGAGGTCACAAGCGAATGCCTCAAGCTTCGCTTAGAGAAAACTTGACATTATTCAAACCCACTCGTCGTACGATCCTTCGAGTTGCTAACTCCTACGTCACTGTAGTCCATGAGGCAAACTTGCCTCGAAGCTGACAAAGTCTAACAACTGTCGCTTGGCCTTCCTTGAAAGTGAAGAGCCTGAACATAAAAGCCTGTGATTTTAAGAGACTCATGAATGATCTACACCTTTGAGCGTTATCGAACCTCGAAGCCTCTTCGCCATCCTAATGACCGGTATGAAATCGGCTGTTCAGAAATCTGGGCAACCGACGAGCTCGTATCTTCGGCTTGTTGAGTCAGCGGCTCAGCCTGTGCATTGCATCCGTCGCCCGGCCCGACGCGGAGGCTCTCTGTCACAAGCTGATGGCCGGCTTCCATCGCCGGACCGCCGGATCGCCGGATCATCGCGGTCCACCTTAGGTACATACCTGTGGGATTCAGACCAGGTCCTCAATCTCGAATCTTCTGATAGCCTTGGCCACCACGTTCACCAAGACTGCCTTCTCTGTGGATGTCTCTCCCATGTTCTGGTGCTTTTTCTCTCTCCGGTTCATGTCCTCCGCAATGCTCTGACTTGTAGACATGGGGCCTATCCCAATGTCATCTTTGTCGAGAAAGATGCCTAGTCCCACCTCTCGGTCGAGGACCTCCGAAGTGGTTGACACAATAGGATACCGGTCATTAAGATGCAGCAAAATGGGGCTCTCAAATCGTGGGCAGTTGTTTCCAGGCTCAAATAATATTGAATATAGGCAGACTCAGTCATACTCGAAGTCCGTTATGAACAGCGCTTGTATCTGTTTGCTGTCTGAGCGCTCAGCGGTGAATTCCTGGGTTGGCTATACACAATAGTCTTGGAAGATGAAAAATAGGGTAAGGTAATTAAATACGTTAACGATAGCAAAGGCTACAGGTATCAGTCTATGTCATGGCTCTGCAAATGTTTCAACTCCAATGGGTATCACTCAGCCCGCAGCGTACTGACTCTTCTTTCTCAACCTCGGTCCAAACTTCCAAAGCAACAGCGGGCCAGGCCACCCGATAACAACACCCAACAGCGCGAGCAACGTATTGCCCCAACCATAATCCAACTTGTTATACAAACTCGGCGCAAACAACGGGAACCCAAACCCAGCCAAGCTTCTCAACACCGTCGCCGCCGCGACGGCACTAGCAGCATACCGCGTGTACGTATCGACCAAGAAGCCCTGGATACACTGGAACCCGATAATCACGCCGGCGCTGAACAGCGTCGCGCCAATGTTGGGCCAGATCCAATGCGTGTGGTACTGCGACGTCCAGCCGTAGATAATAAGACCCATTGGCACAAGCACGGCGCCGGGGATCATCATCGGCACGCGGAACTCGGGGCGTCCCGGTCCTCCGTCGGGAACGTAGCGGCGCTTGAGTGCGGCGTAGATGCGGTCCTGGAGCGGGGCGCACGTCTGCGCGCCGATGAAGAAGCCGAGGCCGAGGGAGATGTAGTTGAGGCCACTGATGCCGACGGATTCGCCGTACTCGACCGTCCAGAGGGTGGGGAAGGTCGAGAGCACGAGGTACATGAGCCCGTAGAGGTACATCATGTAGAGAGCGAGGCACTGGACCAGAGGCTGCGTGCCGAGGAGGCGGAAGGGGCGTGTGAAGGCGATGCCGAGGGTGCGCGCGATGGTGCGGTCTGGGTGGTCAAAGTCGGTGTGCAGCGCCGTGTTGCCCGTCTCCTTGATGAGACGCTTCTTCCTCCGTGTAAGGAGCACAGGCGCGAAGGTCTCCTGCAGGACGAAGAAGCCGATGGACTGGATGACGGCTGTGAGGATGGTGGTGCTGTAGAAGATCCAGCGCCACGTCGTGTTCTGGGTGATGAAGCCGCCGGCGATGGGGCCGATGGCCGGGCCCAAGAGCGGCATGAGAGAGTAGATGCTGATTGCCTTGCCGCGCTGTTCTGCTTCGAATAAGTCGCCTAGGACGCCACCACCGATAGCTAGGGGTGCTGAGCCGCCGAGGCCTGCGAGGAAGCGGAAGGCGATCATCTGGCTCTTTGTCTGGGCGAGACCGCATCCGAGGTTGAAGAACATGTAGAATAGGTTCGTGAGCTGGAGGACGATGACACGGCCGTAGAGTTCTGAGAGAGGACCCCATGCTAGCGGTCCTACGGCGTAGGCGAGGACGAAGATGGAGAGGGCGAGGGCCTTCTCGAAGGAGCTTGTGATGTTGAGGTCGGATCCGATGGCCTCCAGAGCGGGTGCAACCATGGATGAGGAGACTGGCGAGAGCAGGGTAAAGCATGATACTGTACACTTGTTAGTACTCGTCAGATTGGTAACCAAGAATTGGCTTACTGCAGAAGACTGCGGCCCATTTCCTCTTCATAGACCATTGCTTTGGGTTTCCAGGATCGTTCGGACCATCCCATGTCACGAGGTTCGGGTCTCGAGCAGTTCTCGTCGTCGGCGTCTTCTCGAGATCGAGTTCTTCGCCGCGTTCCAAGTCTCGTCTGTTCTCGATGCCATCTCTGACTTCAGATACTGTCCTCGACAGGGATCTTGACCTCGAGCTCCGTACGCCGTGGAGGACGCTTGCGCTGTGTTCTGAGTTGCTGTCGCTGTCGTCTGATGAGGACGAGTGCCGTGAAGACTCTGTCTGCTTTTCTTCGACTTGCTTCCCTGATGCTGCGGTGATGTGCCTCTCGACCTGCTGTCTCAGCGTCGTGCGCTGGGGGGTTGCGGATCGGACCTCTCCATTGTGTGAGTCTTGTTGAACTGAGTGTGTCGGGTTGCTTGAGTCCGCCATCTCCTTTGATAAGTTATGTGTATGCTATGATTACACTGGCTTCTGTGAACATGCCAGGCCAGTCACCCTGGCGTGGATTGAAGACTGTTATGAAAGAAAGATTCAATGACGTATGTAAGTGAGTAGTAGTAGCAGTAGTGGTTATTAGTAGGTGAGATAGTGTAGAAGTAAGTAACAAAGAGGCTCAACTCAACGCAAACCGGTTCCAGACAACCGGAAACACGCCCCAATTAAATAAAAAGTAGAATAGCTGCCAGCACCAGAAAGGAGGGCAAAGGAATGAACCATTCCCATTAAAATCTCTTAACACCGGGGACGCCCCAACGTGTTCCCCAGAAGGCGGCCCGCCGCACATCGCTTCTCCATCGGCGCATGCCCGCACTTGCGGCTTCGGGAAGGTGGTTGTTCTGCCGAGCATGCTTGTTAGCTTCGTTTTATCCAATGACGTCCGTCGGCAGGTCAGCATAAGATATGTGTGACTACTAGCAGCCCGAGAGACCACAGGCACACAGCTCAACTCAACGGCCGAGAGAAGCGTTGGGGGCGAGGGTCGTCTCCTTGTGCCCCATGACGCCGTCTGAAGCGGCGCTAGGCACAGATATCCCCGAGATCTGAAGGCTGAATGGACTCTGCCGCTTCCATTCTCTCTTTTTTTCGGGTACCTGGATCCAGATGTGTTTTCTTCCGGTGGGCGTGTGCAAATTTTAGGCATTGAAACCAGGTAAAACTGAGTGCATCTATTAGTCAAGATACTCAAAGCGGATATAGAGAACCACAAACGCCGTGGTCTAAGTGGGCGCAAGAGCAAGAGAACTGACTAGGAGCTGACAAGATGTGAGTCCGGAATTTGCCTCCGCCTCCGTAATCCGTTCGTCTGAACGTCTCTTTGGTGAGGTTCGGAGCTTGAGAGGGCCCCAGCACGGCACCCGGTGCCGAATCGGCAATGGTCCAAGGTTGCTGACGTTCGGATGACCGCTCTTGTTGGCTGGTCTGGACTTGCGATGGAGCTAACCATCTCCACACGCGTCCTGCTTGTCGGCTTCGGCTGTCACAGCGTGCAACCTTTTCGGCGTCAGGACTGTGACGGCGAAGATCCTCGGGCGCCTCAGATTTCTGCGGTCTCGGCCATTGTCCGTATCCTATGCATAGATACGGGGACCCTGGGCAGCTGGACAGGGTAGAAGATTGATCCCTTCCAAAACGACTGGTCCTCCAGTTGTATTTAGACGATGTGATGGTGCATTTCTGGCATTGCAGTAGCTACCGTCTTGGCCAAGCTATGCCTAGTAGTCCCAGAACGACGCTCACTAAATCGATCGGTCCGAGAAAGGCAACAGTTATTCAAAGTGGTCAGAAATATTTTGATTGAACTAGATTGTGTCTCAACAGAGAACTGCACGTCTGCTGGTGAGTAGGTCCATTCTCGCAGTTGTATTGTTGCAGATAGAGACACTGCCGAGTAAGGTCGCATGCTCATGCTATTCGTAACAACCAGACCTCTAAACCAGTAATACCTAAAGTCAAGTCCCATGAACGCCATAGACCGTATGCCTCGTTTATTAACAGGCAGGAGAGCCAAAAAATCGAGTCCGATAAAAGTTGCTTTTGGAAGTGGTATCTTGTTTCAGAGGAATCCGAGGTGTAATGAGGGGGCTTCCATCTCATTACCCTATGCGGCGACGTCGGTCTTGGTGTCGACCTTCTTCGCTTCAGGCTGGGCGGCGCCGTCCTCCTCGCGTCCGCGCTTGCCGTTGCTGTTCTTATCTTCCGCGACGGCCTCACCGTTGCCGTTCGTAGCCTGGATGGTAGGCTTGCCACTGTGAGACTAGTTAGTACTGCTGTCCCTGTTGAGCAGATGCGGTGATACATACGCGTTGCGGTCGTTGGTGACCTCGTTGGGATCCCTGCGGTTCTCGCGGTTGTCACGTCCGCCACGGCCGCCACGGCGGTCACCACCACGGCCACGGCCGCGTCCACCGCGTCCGCCTCTGCCACCCCTGAAGCCGTTCTTCTGGTCGTGGTCGCGGCGCTGCTTCCAGTCGTCGTTTCCAAAGTTGCCACCACGGCCACCTCTGCCGCGACCACCGCGGCCGCCGCGGCTATCACCCTCTTTGCCCTCAAAGAATCGGCGGGAGGTGTTGGGCTCGAGCTTGCCGGCGAGGATGAGAGCGGACTTCTCCTTCACGTAGTCAATCTTGGGCATCATCTTCAGGTCGTGTTCCTTCCACTTGGGCTTGGGGTCCAGGGCGAGGAAATTCTGAGCCGCCTCCTCATCGGGGAACTCGACAAAGACGGAGCCCTTGAAGAGCTTCTCGTTGGTGCGGCGGAGACGAACGGAATTGATGGTTCCATACTGCTGGAAGAAGGACTCGAGGTCGAATTGGGTAGTGGGCTCCTCGTCTCCGAATCCCTTGACGTAGACGCAGCGGGCGTTGAACTTGTCGTTACCAGAGGTGTAAGCCTGCTTGCGCTGGATTGTCTCCTCACCCTCCTCGCCAGCGATGTTGACCTGCGTGCTCTCCTTCAACGCAGCGACGACGGCAGAGTAGGGCTGGAAGCGACGCATGCGCTTGAAGTTGGTGATGGTCTTAAGGGGGATAGGCTTGTTGTCGAATCCTCCAACAAGCTCCCACAAGAACTTGTCGTGGGGAAGGTTGCTGTCCGACAGGTAGAACTCGACCTGCAGTCAATCGCGTTAGTCAATCGGCCAGTTTGGGTGCATGAGGTTCGAGCGCCTTACCTGCTTGCGGATCTCAACAGGGTCGTCTGTCTCCTTGAGGAGAGAAGGGTCAAACTTGACATTGTTGGCGTGGGTCTTCTGGTCGATTTGGGCGGTCGTCTTGATGATGTCGGCCTCCTTAGCCTCGGACTCGGCGGGCTTGACCTCGGTCTCCTCCTCACCCTTCACAGTCTCGTCGACCTTAGCAGCCTCCTCGGCCTGTGCAGGCTCCTCGACGTTGACGGGCGCCTCGGCGGCAACAGCCTCGACGGGCTTGGTCTCCTCGGCGGCGCTCATCGTAGGGTGAGTCGAGTCGTGAATTGGAAGGTATTGAATGGTCTGTAGAGTAATACTGTTGTCAATGAAGAGTTCTTGATTGCAATAAAACGTAATTGTTGCGCGACAAAGGTGAGTAACACAACGCCAGCCTCGGGGGGGAAGTCAAGGTCGGCAATATTTATTATGTGGCGGGGTAGGCAGCCGCAAAGAGTTAGAGGGGAAAGTGAGTAATCCGGAGAAAGCTTACATTGTGAAATCAGTCAATGCAATTCGACAACCGTAGTATGGGCTGAGCGTTCTTCGTAAAAAGTGTCTTGCCTTTCAGAGTTTATACAGGGAACGGAGAAAGGCGATGGTTCTTGGTCAAGCGGGAATGGCAGAAAAAAAAAAAAGTCCCCCGTTTCTCCAGTGGTGAGGATTTTGCGACCAAAATTCGCATGCACGAGCGTGAGCTCCAGTTTCTGCCGCGGCGGCTTACGCGCAATAGGCTCACCGCCCGCAGCTCGACTCCACTTGGCGAGGTGGGGAGAATGAAAAAATCAACCACACGGCTGGCTGCGACTGCTACAGAGGCACTACAAGTACGGAAGGCTGGGTACGTACTGTCATAATCTCAGTCCTCACAAGGAAGGCTCGAAAAGCTACTTTACTTAGGTAAGCAGTAGGTAGTTTGCCGTTCAATTCCAACGCTACCTATCCCCGCACGTGACGACGTGACAGCTCTCATAGCAGGCCAGAATGGGTACGTACCGACAATCGGGACATGCCGTTCCATCACCAAAATTTCCGTCTCTGCGTCTCGTGCTCCTGAAGCTGTCACCATCCCTCCAGCTCCAAGTTCGCGACCGTTCAGCCCCATTTAGCCCAAGATGAGAGGTAGAAAGCCAAGGTGGTACAACCTGGCGAAGCCAGTAAGCTATTACTCCATTCTTTTCCGTTGAGCCTCGGCGTCAATCGCATTCTGCTTTTCCCCTGAACTCGCCCTGGGCAACTTTCATCGCATGACGTTGAAACCAATGATGGATGGACTGAAGCTAACCATTACCACCTTTCCCCCTCGAATAGAAAATTCGTCAGTCATGGAATAAGTACAATCTTTTCAACCTCGCCACATTCAAGTTGAAACGAAACCGAACCTCGAGAACTTTCTTCCAGCAGAAATGGACCGCCAAGTCAATGACCCGTGGCTACCACGGAGCCCACGTCAAGGAGGCGGAATGGTCACGCAACTTCTCCCGACGTCTCTTCTCCGCCGTCGACATGCCGCCTGAGTACCTCGCCAAGCACGACGGATCAGAGCACTCGGCCGGCCGCGGTTCCGGTCTGCACGCCGAGCCGGGAAAACAGGACCACACGCCCACCGCATACCAATTCTCTAAGCTCGAAGAGGCCAGGCAACGGAGAGAAGAAGGCAGATATTTTTCTTCACTCAAAGCTGATCCTCAGACCGAGATGCTTGCCCGTCCCGTTAGGCAAATGACGCCCTACATGCAAATGGCTTTCGCCCCCCTTGAGCGGCGGCTGGACGTTGCCATCTTCCGCGCCATGTTCGCCAGCAGTACGCTCCAGGCAAAACAGTTCTGCACACACGGCGCCGTCAAGGTCAACGGCAAAGTCGTGAGTGATCCCATATATCCCGGCCCAGATACACAAGATTCCACCATCTGTATACAGCAAACATCTAATCCATCTGGTTCTAGATGCGCTACGGTGCCTACAAGCTCAACCCCGGCGACATGTTCCAGGTCGATGTCGACAATGTTCTCTTCGCCACCGGCCGGGCCAAAACTCCCAACCACGCACTCTGGCTCGCTGGCAAAGACTATCAATCCCTGAACGACGCCGGCAAGCCCAACAAACCCGCGACTGAAGAGGGCGCCTCAGAACAGGAATCTGGTGACGCGGCACTCGAGGCTGCCGAAGCCGATACCGCCGTCGAAGAAGCTGAGGCCGCCGCAGAGAGCGGCGAGGCCGCCACCGAAGCAGCAGAAGCAGCGGCCGA